GGCTTGATATATTGTAAGAATTTCTGGAGCTTGTGGGGGGGGAAGAGTATAGTGCCCATGAAGGAGATGCCATTTTCCTGAACTAGTAGCTGCTTCTTTTTGTATTGAGAAGATTTTCTTTTTCCAAGGTGGTGTACTGTGGTTGAAAGGCAGGGATAGCTAACAGCTGAAGGGCTGGAGCAGGTTTAAGAGTGGCCCTTCTTGCTTCTGTGTCTGTGAGGTCATTTCCTCATGAGATGGGGTTTTATGCTATTTAACGGCTTTTGCAATGGTGACTCTTACTTCAGTTGGGAGGGCAGCTGCTTGGAGGAGATGGAATATGAGGGAGGCATTAGTAATTGGTGACCTTTTCCCAGATGGCTGTGTGGGATTGGAGGATGTGATAAGTATATTTGGAATTAGTGTATATATTTACCCTGTGGTCATTAGCTAGTATGAGAGTTCTTGTTAGAGCAACAAGTTCTGCTTTCTGGGAAGAGGTCCCTTTGGAAAGGGAGGACTTTCCATGAGACTTGAATTATTGACAATGGCATATCCTGCAAGCTTGGTCTCATCTTAGGAGGTAGTGGAGCTGCCAAACCAAGTATCCTCTGGATTGACAAGAGGGGTACTGGTGATATGACTGAAGTATGGAGTTAAGCTTTCCAGGGTTTCTATGCAAGAATGTACAAGTGTATAGTTTGAATTGGGGAGTAAGGTTGTGGATTGAGAGACAGCTGTCTACTGTTAACTCAAGAGACTCCAGATAGGTAGCATGGCAAAGTTGAAATTTTGAGATGGAGAGATTCTTTTGAGCTCATTATGACAAGAGATCTTTTAGCTGGTGAGGGGATAGAATAGTGGTATGTTGCTCAAAGGTCAGGTGTTTGCTTTCTTCTGCTAGGAAGGCTGCTGCTGCTCTGAGGCAGGAGGGCCAGCCATGAACAGTGGGATCTAGTGCTTTGAGAGGCATGCTATAGGGGTGAAGGAAGGACCCTTGATTTGTCCTAAGACCTTGAGACCTATTCCTTGATACTCAATAAAATTAAGTCTTGCATGGAACACTGAGGTGAAATTGGAAAGGAGTGTGAAAAAGGGACTCCTTGTATTTGGCAGGGGAGGGAAGAAATGGTTAAAGGTGACAAAATGAGACCATCAACACAAATAGCAGATCTGTGAGGGAAAAGCTGGTCCTGAAAATTCAGGTAGGGCAGAGTAAGTGGTCTCATGACTATTAAAAAGATTGGCTTACCTGCAACTTGAATGATTACTCTAGGCTCCTCCAAGATGATGTTAGATGGGGCAGGAGGCCCTGGGCACCTTCAGTCTTCAGTGGCTAGGTCCAGCAGTCTGGGTAGGCTGAGGTATGCTGGAAGGTGGTCAACTGGGGAACTGAAGTGACTAGTTCCTCCCTCTGGGAAGAGAGGGAGCAGTCTACCTTCTGATGCCCCTTTTCTCCACACTTGGAGCAAGGTCCTGGTGGAGGTTGGGAAGTAGGACATGCTTTAGCCCAATGACTTTCTTTGCCACACTTAAAGCAGGGCCCAGGTAAAGTCTTACTGGATATTTGTGCTTTTGAAGCACTGAAACCTTTAAGGGCAGCCACCAAGAGCTAATAATTAACCTTATCTCTCTGGGCTTTGTCTGCTTTTTATTTTCTTTATTATTATAGACTCTAAATGCCATATTCAGAAGATCTCTTTGAGGGGTTTGAGGACCTTCTCCTTGTTTTTTGTGGGTTTTTTGTTTTGTTTTAGTTTTTCCCCAAATATCAGAGGCTGACTGGGAGATAAAATGGGCAATTATAACTAATATGCCTTCTGCCAAACTGGAGTTGACTTTTGTGTACTTTTGGAGGGCTTCTGTTCATCTAGATAAAAACTGGGCTGGATTTTATCTGGTTTCTGAGCTATTTCTTGGAGCTTTTCATAACTGACTGATTTATGGGCTGCTTTTTGTAGCTTAGCTATTAGACAAGTAGCCATACTGTTACATTGTTCATAGCCAGGCAAGCCAAGTTGGTAATTTCAACTGGAATCTTCCAGGGGCACAGCTGCTGCACCTACAGGATGGCAATATCTACTCTGTATATGCCTGGGACACTACTTGTTGTCTACTTGAGCCAGCAAGGCTGTGCAAGAACACAAGCTGGTATCAGAGGTGGAAGGGGAGGAAGCAGGAAGCAGGAAGGGGGTGGTCAGGATTTGAGGAGTTTTCTTGCAAGGAAACTCCCTGTGAGCTTGTATTTGTGTATGGTGGTTGTGGAGGAGCAGCAGGGAGTGCTGAGTGGTCAGCAGTATCAAAGGAAGGAGGATCTGAGTTGGGGAGGGGAGAAGGCTTAGAGGAAGCTAGGATGATTTGGTGAGTAGACCAATTTTGACAGAGGATGGGATGAGAGCAGAGACCAAAGAAGGTATTTCAGACCACTTGTCACGCAATGGCAGAAATTATCAAGATCTCTGATAGTGTTGAAATTGAGCGTCCCATTTTCAGGCCATTAAGATCATTATCCAAATCGATATCGTGGCCATGCTGTATTACAAAAGAATACAAGTATTTCACACTTAATGGTGTCTTGCAATAAAGCATATTACGGGAGCTCAGGAGACACCTCAGCAGAGTGTTCTGAGAAAGGCAAGATTGACTGGCTCTCATGATATGGGGGGAGAGTTAAATAGTGGGGAGTGGGGTGGAGAGAAAAAGAGAGAGAGAGACTTAAGGAACTAAAGTATCCTTTATTTCCTTTTGTCCTCATGAAAAGTAGGTCTGCTCATGGCATGGGCATCCCCAGTGTTGAGAAAGACTGGCCTAATTGGCTGAGGGATTTCCTGGTCTAGTGCTAGAACTTTTAAGAGTTTAAAAGGAGAAGGAGATCTGAGAAAGGAGAACTGCCACCACTTAGCCCAAATTGGTCTGGTGGTGTTTGGAAGGCCAGCAATCGCAAAAGGCAAAAAGTGTCAGATAAGGGTGTCCTCTCAGCAGTTCAAAGAGGGGCAGTCATTAGGCAGATCAAGGCCAAGGAAGAGTGAAAAGAATTAGGGTGACCAAGCACATAGGCCAGGTGCCTTTAGGACAGGAGAGAGAAGGACAGGTTATACCAAGGAGGGACAGAGGCCAATTTCATAGAGTTTCCAGAAAAACACAATATGGAATCAAGGCAGATTTCTTTCCTGCTCGAGAAGGGAATAGGAGATGTAGGTCACTCATTAGCTCCACTGAGCCTTTTTCAACTGAGTTCAGGAGAGATTTCCAGTCTCTGTGAGTGAGAGGCTTGACAAGAGGTAGAGAGAGAGAAAGCCGTGAGGCAAGTGCATTTAATTGAATCCTACCTCCAACCTCTAATCACTCCTCTGATAGTACAAGCTGACAGTTCCTGGTGGGTTCTGGTGGGTCACTGTGAGGTGTACTGTGGCAGGACTTCCATGGCAACCAGGCACTGCCCTGTGAAACTAAAGCATTATGTATGTGCTGCATTTCTCTATGGATCAGGGCCTCTAACTGTCCATTTGTTTCCTTTGTTCAGTGGTTATGGTTCTGCTGTACAATAACCTGAAAACACATTTCATGCCTTATTAATTACAGTAGAAGATGAGGGTATGTCCTCTTTTTGTCTCCAGCTTTCTGGTGGCCCTCTTGTTTCTGCTCTGACTAGTGCTGTTCATATAGACTTAAACTTATGTAATAAGAGAAAAGCAGCTTTCAGACACCTTGGCTGCACTTATTCAGGAGAAATGTCAGCTACTGCACAAATTAAGTGATGTTTAGGAAGATCAAGAGATGGAGTAAACTGTGAAGAACATCCAACTGGAGAGAAAGTCTTTGAAGATCAAGAAATGTGAGGAAATCTAACAAGAGTAGATGAGAACAAGAGCAATGCTGACAGAACTCCATCATGACCTGAAAGAGGAATGTGTCAAATAACCCTGGCAAGAAGAAGAATTAGCAGAGATGAGGATCCTGGATTTCTTGAAGGAGGTTCAGACCCTGGAGTCCCAGAAGGAGTTGAGAAAGTTCTCAGAGCCTAGGGAGGGTTGTTTCAGACACAGTGTGTCCCTGACTCACTCCCTGTAGACCCTTTCCCAGCAGACTCCTTTCTTTCCCTCCACTTGGACTTCTGAGCTGCAATGTGTGTGTCATCCTGAAAACTGACCACCACGGAGGGATAAATGAGGCCAGTGGACATGGGAGAGCCCCATTTTCTGGAACCCTCCACCTTCACTCCTGGACCCAAAGCTCCTCAGTGATCAACAGATGATTCAGGAGTATGGGCATTTTTCTCCTGAGAGAAGGAGAGTCATCTTTGTCATTTATCAGCAGCTATACTTTACTCACATGGAAACCACCTACCCTATTTCTAAAATAATCCTAGTTACCTGATAAATAAAAAGTATTGTTATACAGTGACTTTTACTTCCTGCTTTAGAATTCTCTATGTATTTTGTAATGCTTCAATTGGGCCATCTCCTACTGTTAGGATTTACAGACTTAGAAACCCATTGGAGAATTTCAGTTAGTCAGACTTGACTTGATGGCAGTGAGTTTGATTTCTATGTTTGTAAGACTTTATAATTTGAAAACATGCCGTTAAAAAATAACTTTTAAAACTAAACTATAATTCCCATTTGCCAAATCATAGGTTATAGTAAAAGTAACTTTTTACCTAAGTATTAGTTGAAAACCTAAAAAGATCTGAATAAATTAAGAGACTGTTGTTATTGTTGTTGAGCACCACTGAGTCGTAACCAACCCACAGCTGACACTCCAGTGGCTTTTCATAGATTGTTAATTACCTTGGATAAGGTTGCTCATCCCCCTCCAGTATAGGAGCTGGTGGAATGAACCACATGGCTTTGGGACTGCAGCACAGTTTCTTACCTTTAGACAACAAGATATGATCCAACATTAGAGACAGGTTGTATTTTTTTTTTCTTTAACAGGATACTTACAGATAAATCACTATTATATGACATTAAGCAAACCAAATCCATTGGCATGGAGTAGTTCCCCAAATAGGTACCCATTGACAGAAAATGGCCTTATAAGTTTCCAGGGATTGCAAATATTATGGATTCAGACTTTACATCTTCACATAACAGTGAGTAGGTTCCAGCAAATGGTTTTTAAATTAGCAGCTGTGCACTTAATCCTCTGTGCCACTAACCCCTTAATTTAGCAAATGACTGAAAAGAGAATTCCATTGTTCCTTCCCTTGGTAAATGTAGCCTGGATTCCTTCTAATGTTCTGGGGACTCAAGGCTGCCAAGGACTGACTTGGCTTTTAAAGACAGACACAAAAGGGCTCTTTCTCTTCCGGTCGCTGGCGCTTTGGGAGCTCCGGCGAGGGTTCAGACATAGCCAAGTCCAAGAACCACACCACACACAACGAGTCCCGAAAATGGCACAGAAATGGTATCAAGAAACCAAGATCGCAACGATATGAGTCTCTTAAGGGGGTAGACCCCAAATTCCTGAGGAACATGCGCTTTGCCAAGAAGCACAACAAGAAAGGCCTGAAGAAGATGCAGGCCAACAATGCCAAGGCCATGGAGATACGTGCTGAGGCTGTGAAGGCTCTTGTCAAGCCCAAAGAGGTCAAGCCCAGGATCCCAAGGGGAGTCAACTGCAAGCTCAGCCAACTCGCCTACATTGCCCATCCCAGGCTTGGGAAGGGTGCTCGGGCCCGCATTGCCAAGGGGCTCAGGCTTAACCAGCCAAAATCCAAAGCCAAGGCTGACAGTAAGGCCGAAGCTCCAGCTAAGTCCTCAACTCAGGCTCCTGCTCCAAGCCAGGCTCCTGCAAAGGCTCCATAATTGAGTTCTCCATCTGAGGACAGAAGGACTGGTGTGACCCCCTGGGCTGTTGCCATCTACATGGGGCTGGGGTCCTCCTGTGTTATTTGTACAAATAAATCCTAAGGCAAGAAAAAAAAAAGACACAAAAGGGGACTTGAATGTTTGGGCTGGACCTCAATTACTGGGCCATCCAAGCTGCCGCCATCAGCCTGGATGTATAAGGCTGCCTGCATTTGTGAAAAGATCCCAGGTCCTGCAGTGAAGTACATGGCCACGGTTCCTGAGCTGCCAAGATGCCCCCAAAAGTGGAAAGATGATCTAGCGTTTTTAGGCTTGGGTAACTGTGCTATTGATCGCTTCTGAACTGAGGTCCCAAGCTGCCACAAAAGGCCTAGGCTCTCCATGATGCACTGGTTCCCAAGTATGAGAGGACACTCCAGGGTATCTTTCCTTGATTAAATGTAATGTCCATCGCTGGTATTGCTATAAGGCCCATAGGCTGCCACCAAAGGCCTAGGCTCTCAGAAACATTCCCATGAACTTGGGTTTCCAAGGCTACCTGCAATGAATTGGCCACCTAGGCTGCTGCCATCAGCAGGAATGTCCTGAGTTGCCTTCCTCTGTCAAGGGGTCCCAGGTTCGTGCAGTTCACTGAAATGGCGACAGTTCATGAGTGGGCCCGATGCCCGCAGTGGACTAGAAACAAAGAGTCCCAGGATGTTGATGTGAGGCTGGGGACAGTGATACACACGTCAGATCAGAGAATGCAACAGTTCCTTCCTTTGCCTAATGTGGCATTGATTGCTCCAATGTCGGGAACCCTATAGCTGCCACCAAAGGACTAAGCTTTCAAAGCAGCGACCGGGAACGGTTGTGGATGAGATATCCTTAAAGACTGGACCATCCAGGTGGCCACCATCAACCTGGATGCTACACGAATCTATCAAAAGGTCTTAGGTTTGCAAAGTGCGATGAAAGAGCCACAGTTCATGAGTTGGCACAGATGCCCCTGGGGGTTGATAGTAAAATTGTCCTAGGTTGCTGATCTGAGGCCCATTGGATGCCCCCAAAGGCCTAGGCTCTCAGAGCTTCGCCTCTGATCTTGGATTTCCCAAATGGCCTGCAGGCAATTGTCCATCCAGGCTGCTGCCATCAGCCTGGATGCCCAAGGCTGCCTGCATCTGTCAAGAGGTCCCAGGTCCTGAAGTGGAGTACATGGCCACGGTTCCTGAGCTGGCCAAGAGGCCCCCAGCTGTGCAGAGACAAAATGTCCCAGGTTGTGGATGTGAGGAGAGGCCGCACTGGTCCCCATGTCTGAGAAGATGATCCAGCGTCTGTAGCCTTGGGTCAATGTGCTGCTGACCGCTGCTGAACTGAGCTCCTCCCAGGCAGCCCCCAAAGGCCTAGGCTCTAAAAGCAGCTCCCGTCAACTTGGGTTTCTGCCGAGTGCAACTTCGCCGCCAGCAGCCGAAGAAGACTCAGACAAACAGGATTCGTTGCAGAAGCTTTATTGAACAAATGAAAATGGCGAAATGGCCCTGTCTTCTTCCCCGGCACTTGCTTATATCCCTCTCGGTTCCACGCCTCCTGCTCTTACGTCTTAGAATCTCATTGGTGTTGAGGTCTCTCTAAACTAGGTCCAATGGACCAATAGCAATATTGCAGCCATATATAGTGTTGTTTGTGCGTTAGTGAATCAATGAGGAAGTGAGGTGCCGGCGCCATCTTGTAATGGCGGTGTGCAAGTGCGGACCGCGCATGTGCAATGACGTCAATGATCTTAAACGGCTAGCCTGCTGCTGCGGTCGGCCTGCTGCAGGTTTCCAAGGCTGCCCTGCAGGCAATTGTCCATCCAGGCTGCCGCCATCAGCCCGAATGTCCTAGGCTCCCTACATCTTCCCGGGGTCCCAGGTGCAAGCAGTGCACTGGAATGGCCACAACTCTTGACTCTGCTCAGATGCCCGTGGCTGTCGAGAGACAAATGTTTCCAGGTTGTTGATGTCGGGAGAGGCACCACTGCTCCCCATATCTGAGGGGATGATCCAGTGTCTCTTGCCTTGGGTCACTGTGGTGTCTATTTTTGCTGCTGCCACAGAAATGAGACCCCGAGGCTGCCCCCAAAGACCTAGGCTTGCAGAGACGCTCCCATGAACTTGGGTTGCCAAGACTGCTGGCAGGTGATTGGCCATCCAGGCTGCCTCCATCAGCCTGAATGTCCTTGGCTGCCTGCATCTGGCTCTCACCAGGTCTCAGGTTTGCGCAGTTCAGTGCAATGGTCACAGCGCATGACTTGGCCCAGATGCCCCTGGGGCTTGATAGTCAAATTGTCCTAGTTTGCTGATTTGAGGAGAGACAGGATTGGTCCCCGAGTCTCAGAAGATGATTTAGTGCCTCTTGCCTCGGCTGCGTGTGGTGTTGACCGCTGCTGCTGCTGATCTGAGGCCCCTTGGCTGCCCCCAAAGGCCTAGGATCTCAGAGCTTCTCCGCTGATCTTGGCTTTCCTAAAGGGCCTGCAGGCAATCGCCCATCCAGGCTCCCGCCATCAGTCTGAATGTCCCGGCTGCCTGCCTCTGTCAGGGCTTGCAGGTTCGCCCCGTGGAGTAAATGGCCACGGCCCCTGAGCCAGCCCATGTGCCCCCCGCTGTGGAGAGACAAACTATCCCAGGCTGTTGACGTGAGGAGAGGCTGCATGGCTCCACATGACTAAGGAGATGGTGGAATGTCTCTTGCTCTGGGTCAAAGTGCTGTTGATCACTGCTCAACTGAGGTCCCAGGCTGCTACCAAAGGCCTAGGCTCTCCAAGCTGCTCCCGTGGACTTAGGTTTCCAATGCTGCCCTGCAGGCAATTGCCCATCCAGGCTGCCGCCATCAGACTGGATGGCGTGGGCTACCCGCATCTGGCAAAAAAGGTCCCGGGTGAGAGCAGTGCAGTGAAACGGCCACCGTTCGTGAGTTGGTCCACATGCCCCCGGCCTTCGAGAGACAAATCGTCCCAGCTTCTTGATGTGAGGACAGACCGCACTGGTCCCCAAGTCTCAGGGGATGTTACAGTGCCTCTGGCCCTGAGAAAATGTGATGCTGATCGCTGGTGCTGCCCTGAGGCCCCTAGGCTGCCACCAAAGGCCTAGGCTCTCACAGTCATTCCCACGATCTTGGGTATTCTAGGCTGCCGGCAGGCCATTGGCCACCCAGGCTGCCGCCATCAGCCTGAATGTCCTGGGCTGCCTGCATCTGTCAAGGGCTCCCAGGCTTGTGCGGTCCAGTCAAATGGCCACAGTCCATGAGTGGGCCCGCGTGCCCCCCGCTGACCAGAGACAAAGAGTCCCAGGTTGTTGATGTGAGGATGGGGACAGAGATCCACATGTCTGCTCGGAGAGTTCAATAGTTCCTTGCTTGGTTAATGCGGCATTGACTGCTCCCAATGTTTGGGGCCATCTAGGCTGCCACCCATGGATTAGGCTTGCAAAGCTGCGGCTGGGAACATTTAGGGATGAGGTGGCCTGCAAAGAGAGGGCCGTCCAGGCTGCTGCCATCAGCCTGAAGGCCCTAGGCTACCTGCATCTGTCAAAAGGCCCCAGGTGCCAGCAGTGCAGTGAAATGGCCACAGTTCATGGGTTGGCCCACATGCCCCCTGCTGTAGAGATACCAACTGTCCCATGTTGTTGATGTGCGGATATGCCGCACTGGTACTGAGAACATGATCCAGTGTCTGCAGCCTTGGGTCAAGTTGCTGTTGACTGCTGTTGAACTTAGGTCCCAGGCTGCCACCAAAGGCCTAGGCTCACAAAGCCAATCCCATGAACTTTTCTGCCAAGGGCGCTGGCAGGCCATTCCCATCCAGGTTGTTGCCCTCAACCTGAATGTGTTGGGCTGCCTCCATATGTCTAGGATCTCAGGTCCTGCTATGAAGTAATAAGACTTGGTTGGCTGTTTTGTGTATCAACATGCCCCAATTTGCTAAGAACCAAATTGTCCTTTCTTTGGACGTGCGGAGAGGCAACAGTGAACTTGATTCTCTGAAGGGTAACCAGTGTCTGTGGCCTTGATACATGTGGCCTTTACGGTGCAGGTTACCTGAGGCTTCTACGCTGACATTACCGAGTCTTGGGTTTTCCAAACTACCACCAGTAAGTTGAATATTCAAGGCTGTCTTGAAGTGATTGTGTCTTCTAGGGTGTTGCCCTTCAGACTGGACGTCCTAGGCTGCCTACATCTAGCAAGCGGTCTCAGACTCCCGCCTTGGAGTTAAATGACTATGGAACTTTTGTGGGCTGTGGTGTCCTAGGCTGCTGAGTGGCATACTCCCTTAGGCTTTAGTGTTGTTCTGGCTTTTTTGGTGCATGGTGCTGAATGATTTTGTTAAGTTGGGACTGAGGCAAATAGCACCTGACATCATCCAGACTGTTATGAAATGAGGTGGTCCAGGCTGTTTGGGATGTGTTATATCAGCTTTTAATGGTGTATAAGTTAGTGTATATTGATATTTCAGGTACACTGGCTCAATTGTTAAGCTGCAATTAATAAGAGCGTTCCCACACTACAATTGTTATTGCCATTTTCAGGATTAACTGAACTTGTAAGGTCTATGTGCCCTTGCTTCTAATTTGGGCCAGGTGCCAAGACTGCTGTTGCGGAGAGAAGTTCTCCTGGAACCGCCTATGGAATATGGTAACTCAGACTATTGCACTATGGAGAGATGTCCTGGCATCCGCTGTGAGTGGAAGAAGCCCTGACTGTGAGCTGAGATAGCCTTGTCTATTGACAATTGTGATGGCTGTACAACAGCTGACAAGGACCTGGGCAATCGAGGATGCTGAGAGGCCCGCTAGCTCCAGGCTGCATTCAAGGATTCAGGTTCTCAGGACTACCACCCCAGGCCTGTGCACCCCTGCATTGATGAAGGTATTCCCTGTCAGCAGTGCCACAAATTGTCTCAGGCTTCTGGTTTCAGTGATGATGACTCTTCAGTCTTCTCCTATGGCCTGGGGCAGCCTGGTCTGCTGCTGTTTTCCCTCTTC